TCATAATACTGAAAATAATGAACATTGGTCACATTTTTGTTTTTAAAGACACCAGCATCCTATAAATTTAATTAAAACAGAAGTAGAAATTTACTTTTAACATGATGCTGCCTGAACCATGTACTGTCACCAGGTGACTTTGTTGCTTGGTATGGGCTTAGCCATACAAAAAAGCAACGAGAACTCTGAAAATGAAGAAGCTGTTCAAATTAAGTCCAAGACGGAAACTGTAAAATCCTGCATATAGTTATCTAATCATTGTAGAAGCTACCTAAGCCCACCCCGGTAAGAAAAGAAGTAGCATGATTACTATATTGCATTTCTGTGGTAAATGTAACAGTTTTACAGTAAACAGGCTTGGAAATGACTGATGCCTGTGTGACATGTTTTGGGCAGTAGTGTATTAGATTCTTGTGACTTCTCTTTCAGAGGCTCGTTAGCACTTAACTGAACTTTTTAGATTTATTTTTATTTAGTACATATGGGTGTTTTGCCTGCATGTATGTCTGTACACCCACCACATGCATACCTGGAACCCACAGAGATCAGAGGAGAACATTGGATATCCTGAAACTGGAGTTACAGATGGTTGTGAGCCATCATGTGGGTCCTTGGAATCAAACCCAGGTCCTTACCAGGATAAAAACTCTTAATAAATAAAACCACTGAGCCCCATGAAGCTTATTATAATGCTCAAGATCTGAGAAGGGAACACTGACTGACTGAACAAGGCTGACTCCTGTACAGATGGGTATGATCTGAAGCAAAACTTTTTAGTTTTTGTAGTGTTGAGGAACAGAAAGTATATAATTTCCTCTTGTCCACACTGTAAAATACATGGTATAGGGTGGGAGGGATGTGGAACTACACAGGCAGAGGTCTCACTGTCTGCATGTTTTCCTTCTTAAAAACAGAACAAGTGGTTGGGTGTGCCTTGGCACAACACAGAAAAGGAAGGCTGGCAGGAGAGCTCAGTTGTCAGGCTTAGGGACCTGTGTTCCATCTCTAGAACCTAACATGTGGAGGGAGAGAACTAACTCTCTTAAGTTATCCTTTAATCACTCTGTGTGTTAGTGCTGTGTTTGATAATTTGGCAGGACTGGGCTCTTGACCAGGGAAGGCCATGCCCATGTTCTTAATTCATTTTAATTGAAGAAGGCTAAGGCCTGCCAGTGAAAACAAGCATAATCTTCAAAACCGTGAAGGAGTTGAGGTGTGTGTGTGTGTGTGTGTGTGTGTGTGTGTGTGTGTGTGTGTGTGTGTGTGTGTGTAGTGTGTTGGGATAGGTGGCACTCTGACTTGGGTGTGTGTTTCTGTGTTTGTTGTGTGTTGGGCTCAGCAGTACTTGGACCTGGTCAGGAGCTGTCTGTTTAGTGATTCTGACAATCATGCTTACTTTAAAAGCTATTCCTCCATGGGTTGGAGTAGCTTTTCTCAGGCTACTCAGATTTGTGCATGGCCTAATGGTTACACACTGCCACACTGTGTCTGTGCCTTAGTGGGCAGCCCTGTCTATTTCCTAAAGCTACCCCAGAAGTCTTGCTCTGTGGATTTTTCTTTTCTTTTGGTTTTTGAGACAAGGTTTTTCTATATAGTCCTGGCTGTCCTTCTGAAACTCCCTATGTAGACCAGGCTCTCCTCAAACTCACAAAGATCTTCTGCCTCTGTCTCCCCAGTCCTGGAATTAAAGGCATGTGCCACCACACACAGCTTCTGTGGGTTTCTTTTATGAAATAGTAAATCTGAAATACACCTGGTAATGGGAGAAAACCTACAAGCCCCTCAGGTATAAAAATATCTTGCAGCCCACATTTTGTTCTCATACATCCCTGAGAGAGGTTCTGCTTCTGTTGAGAAGCCCCTCTTTTGTGGGAGGGAGATTCCATCACTCTCTGGGTCCAGACACAGCTCTGTGGTGGCTAGCAGCAGACAATGACCATCAGGAGTGGGAATGTGCAACAGAAGGCTGGACGGCAGCTTCAGGATCTGGAGCAGAGTTCCCTGTTTGTCAGCAGAAAAGAGGGCTTGAGTTTCCAGTAAAAACTACACACTTCACAAACTGATCTGGTTTGCCTGTGAAATCCCTTCGGGTCAGTCCCATATGGCTGAGGGCACTGAAGCTGCAGCCATAGTGGCTAAAATGAAGCCACAAATGCTTAAAATATAACCAACCTCCACAGTGATTTGAGGCACACAGTGAGAGGAGGCACTTCCTTGTATGAGCAGCAGACCGAAGTTGGATAAGGATTGAAAAAAAACCAGACTCAGGCGGCCTGTGAAGTAACCTTCCAAAGGAGCTTTTGAAGACTCACCACTTCACACTTACTCAGGAGGGCAGCAAAAGGTGAAATTTCAATTGCTGCCGCAGTATGTGCCTACTGTTTGTGGTTTTTGTTTTGTTTTTTAATGACCCTAGGCAGTAGGTCACACAGGACAGCATATAGACTGTGACCACTTAAGTCTTGTCCTTCACCCAGCTCGATCAGAACCCTGGGAGTGGCTTATAGACATTGGCAGTTGTCATTGAAGGAAAGATTTATGTTAGAAGGGCACACACAGGTCCCTGTGTGGCATCTGAGGACCACATGGGGCACAGCTGGCTCTTGTCCCTTCCCATCATTTGTCACTGGAGAGTTTACTTGTTCTAGGACTTAATAGAAATGGACACTGGCATCATTTCTCAAGGCTTCTAGCTGGTTTTCATGTGATAGACTAAAGTGGAATGTCTAAACCCAAGAAGAACTTTTCAGGCAAGGGTAAGAGTTTCTTGGAGTAATATATGAAGGTTGTATTTAAAGCATTTGGCCAGTTTCCACTGAACATAGCTAAGGAGGGGAAGCCATTTAGCTATTTCCTGTCACACTCTTCTGGAATAGTTACTTTTCTAGGCTTATGAGATCTGCACTTGTAATTGCACTTAAATCCTCCAGCCACCTGGCTGAAAACAAACTTTCACAGTCTAAGAACTAGTGTCACCCTCTTCCCTACTGTGTATTCCAAGAAAGCGCCACCCTCCCGTTATTGTCCCAGTAATGTTGCTGTGTGCGGCCTGCGCAGATCAGTAGCCCTGATCACACAGATAAAGCTAGAAAGAACTGAACTCAGATTCTGTTGAAGCTAGGTGATGATGGGAGCAAGTGGGAGAGGGAGTTCCCTGAGCCTCAGTGTGATTCCATGCTGTTACAAAGTGTTTTAGAGACAGAAGAATCTAGTGGAGATGTTTCAGCTGTAGTGAGATTCCAGTTCCATCTGAGTTTTGCACATAGGAAAACATAGTATTGCTTTATTTTGTGCAGCACTGGCATCAAAAGAGCTTAGATTCAAGCCAAAAAAACAGAGTGAACCATACCATTGGTTTATGTTTAGAACGTAGGTGCTTGGAGTTCAAAGAGCCGAGGCCACTGTTGCCAGCCACGTGGCCGCAGACAGCCCAGTCGGGCTTGAGTAACTCAAAGGAGGGTGCAAAGAGGACAGATGTTTGGTTTGTGCAAGGCTAGGTTCAGTATTCAGTGAGCGTATTTTAGTACTGTATGAAGGGTTGAATGTGTATTTCCTTGAAATGAGTTACCTGCCTATAGACTGTAATCTGGTCAATAGCATTTCAAGACTTCTGTCGGGTATCTGCTGCTATTGTAGATGACTGCATGGACATTTCTCATTTGAGTTCAGCAGTGCTAATGATGTGTCCATGGTGTATAGAGCAGACCAGACAGGGCACCTGGCTAGGAGCACGTGTTTCCATGCTCCCTTCTTTTTAAAGGATGTAGACTTGTTTTCCTGCATGCTGGGAAAAGAGGCACTTGTCTCCCCTCTTCACCCCTGTATCTAACCACTTACCATCTGTTTGTGTTAGATGATGGCATAGCCCATCAGGCTGAGAGGGGAAACATGGAGTGTGCCTTCTCTTTGCCAAAGAGTCCAGGTGAGAAACGTAAATAGAAGGAAAGCTAGGTCTTAAGTGGTAAATGTCTGAGCAGAGTATGACACATGCCTATAATACCAGCATTCAGCCAGATGAGTACCAATGCCAGGCTAGCTACATAGCAAGTTCCAGGCCAGTCTTATCTGTATAATGAGGCCCTATGTCAAGAAATGAAAGAATTATCTGAGATTATTTCTAGATAGTAAATTGTCAACTTTTTATTAGATATTTTAATATGCATATGTAATGAATCTGAAAATATTTGTTTTTCTCTCCAGGCTTAGCATATTAAAATGACTTTCTGTGTGTAAATTACTTCCTGTGTGTAAAGCTTTCCAGTAGAAATGATATTAACTGTGGAAAAATCATAATCTAGTAGCTGAAAAGTTGTGACATCCATTAAAATAGAGCTAGACCCATTCATCTCTCTGCAGTATGATGTAACAGTGCCGCCTTTGGCCTGGCATGTGCCTTTGTTCTGACAAAGGGACATATGTCCTAGTATCTTAGCTGTCTAGAAAGGACATGAAATGTGAAATCCAGTTTTCTCGAGAGGTAAATCAATTCTAATTAGCAGTCATTTCTATTTCCATTAATCTGGCATATGAGATAAACATGTCTATAGCATGAAAAACAGATATGTTAGTGTGTGTACTCACCATGCACAGTTCATCAACAGATTACTTTTTAATGTTTTAACAAAATATGATATATTGAAATTGTCTGTTTGGTAGTATCAATTTACAGTGTTCCCTAAAAGACTTTAACCACTGATCTTTAGTAAACTTAGAGATTCTCTGTTACAAATATTATTTCTCTTTCTCAGAAAATGCTTTGAAGTTTTAAAATACCAAGAAAAGATAAAATTTTCATTTCTTAAGCATTATGTCAAGGACAACATATTTTTCAATTCCCTCCTTATTGAGAGAAATTTTACTCATGTTATGCAAATACCACAGACTTTATCAAATGTTGGAATTAATCTAACAAAGTATTTAGTCCTTTTTAGTTTCCTGCCTTTTACACATGGACACATAAATGATGGGCTTGTTTGGCCTCTTCTTTCTTTCTTCCCCAGAGCATTAAGAAGAAGCATTCAAACAAGCAGGAGATGGGCACCTACCTGCGGTTCATTGTCTCCCGCATGAAGGAGCGGGTGAGTGCTGCTGAGTCCTGGCATCTTGCCAGGCTTGCTTTGGTCTGGCTCTTAGCACTGTGGTTCTCGCACTGGGAACCGTAGCAACTTCTGAGGGCATATTTGGCTTTGATCTAACTTGGTTTCCAAGACAAGGTCTCAATCTGTAGCCCAGAAATGAACTTGAATTTGTGACCCTCTTGCCTCAGTCTCCTGAGTGCTGGGATTATAGGCCTGTACTACCAAATTTGGTTGCTGTTTTATTCATTTTCTACAACTAATGTTTTTGTACTGGACTGGACTCTGTGTTTTGTCTTGTTAGACATAAGCATTTTGTTGACGACATTCAGTTAAAACACAGTTTAAAAATTAATTTATCAAATAAACATTTGCTTTGGTTATTGCTACTTAAAGTGAAATGGAATTTCTCAAATAGCTGTTCTGTCAAACCTTGAAGAATGCCACATTACATTAACTGTACACATTCTCCATTCATTATAAAGGACATCTTGTGAGATTATAAGATATGTTGAGTTTTAGGAATTGATGCTTTACATAATCCTTTTATGTATTTAACAACCTTTTAGGCTATAGACCTTAATAAAAAGGGAAAGGACAGTAAACATCCCATGTACCGGAGGCTGGTCCATTCAGCTGTTGACGTCCCTACCATACAAGAGGTAACTTGGCTCCTTTTATTTCATGTCCGTGTGTCTTTAACTGTCAGGTTAGAGAGGAAGTTGTGGCACAGCGGAGGTGGCTATGGTGTCATGATGTTGTGCATTCATGCTTTCTAATGCAAATTTTAAAAGACACGACTTTCCACCACTGACAGCTAGCTTCTTGATATTTGTTGATTACAGGAAGATATTCCAGCCTGGGCAGCTTGACATTTTGTATGTAAAGTATGATTTCTGAACATACCTTTCTATTTTAGCAGTGTGCTTGGGAGTTTTAGGTCAAACTTAGGATGTAGAATCGATTTAGTATCTTGGGAAACCATCAAAGGAACAAAACTAGAGTTAAATCTAAAAGAAGTAATTCTTATATCTTTGAGAATGGCAAATAGTGAGTTTTGACTATGTTCACCGTCTCCCTCAACTCCTCCCACACCTAACCCCTCTTTCCACCCACCCAACTTTATACTCTCCTTTTTTTAAAAGCCCATCAAGTCCATCTTGCGCTGCCCATATATCTTGGGCTTTGGTCTTGTCTTTGTGCTACAGTATAAGGTATGAGGATGTAAAGACACAGCCCCACCACCACCACACACCCTGTGCTTGGGCTCCTATAGTTCCTTCCTGCCAAAACCCTCCAGACCCCACTGCCATCATCCCTCCCTGAGGCCTTCTGGATCCTGTAAGGCTCCCTGTGAAATGGGCTGATGCTAGCTGGGTTAATACTTTGGCCTTGCATAAAATGAGAAGTCCTGAAAGGAAAATTAATAGAAAGACAAGATTTTTATGATCTTATCAGTTTAAAATCCAAAATATGAATCATGGTTCAGAGCATAACTCAACAGGAGACACTTTAGGGGTGCTGTAAGGAGGTACTTATTAGCCTGGGAAAGGCCCTGTACAGGCTGATGTACCCCAGCTTTTCAGAGGCAGGAATATAAGGAGGGAAGGCAAGCATCAGACCTGGGATGTGCCACATGGCCTGTAACTTCACATGTGATGTGTTGATGTGAGAAGTGGGAATCTTCACTGAAGGAAGGGCAGTTGAACTAGAGTTATACAGGAAAGAAGCTGTAGGAGCAAAGAGGTGAGGCACACGGGAGGGGCATGGGGTGTGAGCATTCTTTAGAGGCCTTGGCCTTGGCCTTCCAAGTCATTTTTAGGCCAAGATCACTGGAATTCAGAAATGCTCTCTTGCTGTTTAGCTACATACACACTACTTGAAAAAGTTTGGTTTCCTTTCTACAAGGAGGGAAAAGCCCTCCAAATTATTCTGTAATCCTCTTTGGCTACCAACAGTAAAGCTACAGAGAGTGCACTGAAGGAGTCCTTTTCTGTGTCTCGTCCATGTAGAGAAAGCTGTGCATTGCCTTGGTCTACAGAGGAACTCTCAAAACTTCACTGCAAGCTAGTGTCTGTGCGTGCCTTAGAGCAGTGGTTCTCAACCTGTGGCTTGCCTATCAGATATTTACAATATGATTCATAACAGTAGCAAAATTACAGTTAAGAAGTAGCAATGGAATAATTTTATGGTTGGGGGTCACCACAACATGAGGAACTGTATTAAAAGGTCACAGCATTAGGAAGATTGAGAGTCACTGTCTTAGAGGTTTGGTGACTACTGTGGAGGCTAAAGGCTCCTTTTTCCTGTCTTCATCCAGCTGTTAGAAAGAGGGCAGGCATGTGTGGTCCTGCTTTTTCTGACAAAGCTCAGCAGCAGCTGCTACCACTGCTGCAGATGAGGTGTGGCAGCTGTGCAGTCCACCACCGCTGCAGATGAGGTGTGGCAGCTGTGCAGTCCACTGTGGGAGTTAACACAATGGGCACAGTGCTACTTGTGGCCCTGTCACTTCTGGTGGGGGCAGCAGGAAGAGTCCTTATGTCATCTGGACAGATTCTGTTGTGTCCCCTTAAGGCCTGTCACTCACAACACATTTGTCCTTCTGTCTTTTATCCCCACAGAAAGTGAATGAGGGGAAATACCGGAGTTACGAGGAATTTAAAGCTGACGCACAGCTGCTGCTTCACAACACAGTGATTTTCTATGGAGGTTCAGTTCTTTTTGTCTTTTGTGTATAGTTTTGAAAATGTTAAATTCCATGTTGAGAATATCTGTCCCAGTTCCTTGTTATCCATACATGAGTAATTATGTTAGAATTTAAACTGATGGCTGCTTGCTGGTGTGGTTTACAGAGGTGAGGACCAGTGGTGTGAGGGAAACATTCTTTCACTTTTTTTTTTTAATGGTGCTGAGGATGAGGAGCTAGCCCAGGGCCTTGTGCATGCTAATTAAATACTACCACTGAACTAGATCCTCAGTGAAATGTACTCTTTACATTCACATGCTTTATCTTAGCTAACAGGGTTGTCCATCCAGGCATCTCATTAAGTCTGATACTTTCCCACTAAGATCTCATTCTGAAAGTCAAAAGGTCATTCTCTACCTAGAGAATTAGTGGTTGTGTTAAGTGTGAAAATGGAAGTTGCCTGTAGAATTTATTTTGTTACCTGAACATTCTGTAAAATGTGTGTTTTGATGAATGTGTCTCTATTTGGTAAACTGAAATGACTGTGGGGTCATGGACTTGCTGGTGGCAGTTTCTGAGTATTGATGATAGGTTGTGTTTCTCTTCAATTACAGCAGACAGTGAACAAGCAGACATTGCGAGGATGCTATATAAAGACACGTGTCACGAGGTACTTACCATTCACACCTAATCATTAAACCTGCTATAGTCCAAATTTATTTAAGGCTGCTGGCCTTCCTTGCCACATTTTAATTACGGCATTTCCTTTGAAAGTAATTTGATTTTCATGTTTGGCATACATGGAAAGTAAGTTAACAAAATATTTGGTAACTTTCAAGCACTGCTAGTTGCTCTTGGGAGTGTTGGTGAGATGGTGGGATGTGAACAAACTGCACTCTGCAGCAGCCAGAGCCACGTCGTGGAATGGGGCTCACACATGCCCCCAATAAATAGACCAGTGGGCAGACCAGTTAAGGAGAGAACAAAGTGTTTAGGCAGACAGTAAGTGAAGCCCCTGCAAAGACGGTTTTTGTAAAAATTCTCATAGAAGAAGTGTGATTTCTTCAGTTCATTTCAAATTTGACTCTTCCTTTTTAGTTATTAAACGAATATTCTGTTGAATGTCTACAGTGTGCCAGGCAGTGTGTCAGAAGGAATGAAATGGTGATGTAGGTATAGACTCCGGTGTATGGAGGGTTGTCTTCTGAAGAGATGTTGACATATGAAAAAAAAAAAAATACAAGTGACCTTTACAGTGATGAAGAGAATAGTGTGCCAGTGAGGGATGCCAGTGGGCAGAGCAAGGGAAGGGTTCTGTCACCCGGGCGTGGCTTCCACATGCTGCTCAGTGTGATGGCAGAGTCCAGCCATAGCAGGACCTTCCGTCATCCCAGAAGATTTGAAGTATACTAGATTAAGTCAGGAGCTGACGGAGAGCTCCTGTCAGTCGCACACAGCTGCATTGGTTGGCTGTGTGGCTCAGACCGTTGCTTTGCTTTTCAGCTGGATGAGCTGCAGCTTTGCAAGAACTGCTTCTATCTGTCAAACGCACGGCCCGACAACTGGTTCTGCTATCCTTGCGTATGTGGAATTTTGTCATTCATTTATAGAGTACTGTTTGGATCATATTTACTTCCTATTTCCTTGGGGATGATAATACCTGTGAATTATAGTTCTTTGCATCATAGTACATGTGGTCTTAATGAATATGCACAAGTGAAACATGAGAAAGTAACACTAATTGCTTTTCTGAATCTCAAACAGAGTACTTAGTAAGACCATGCACTGGGTCCTTTGATAGGAGACTGAGTCTTTGCTTTTCCTATCATTTTCAACAAGAGACCTGTGGCTTTGCTTCTATCTGGAGCTCCATCATTTCCTCTGAAATGGAAAAAGGCCTCTGGGTATTTGAGGGCAGTATCCCCAGTGACACTGACATTGGGTGGACTTAGGAGATCTCACAATCAGAGAGTCTGTGTGGGACCCAAAATTCTCCTCTTTCTAACAAGTACCTAGGTGATGCTGGGACAGGAGCAAAGTCAGGGCATTCTGTTTACTCCTCTCGTGCACAGGGCCCTTGACTTTAGAGGTGACCTTATTCCAGTTCCTACCTCATCTGGGAAATAGTCCATAATTCTACTTTCTCTTAAGCATATGAATTGTTTTTCTTTATGGCAAAAGGAAAACAAAATAAAACACTTGTATGTGTTTCAGAGTTAAAAGGAAATATTATCCTAATGGATTATGTCTTACTTAATCCATGCTTCTTTATTTAAGTAGTTCAATATTAAAAGAAATAACATTTCACTTTCAGATACCTAATCATGAGCTGGTTTGGGCTAAAATGAAAGGTTTTGGGTTTTGGCCAGCCAAAGTCATGCAGAAAGAAGACAATCAAGTTGATGTACGCTTCTTTGGCCACCACCACCAGAGGTAATCCCAAACACACGCAGTAGCAAGAGCTGCGTACATATGTGTGCGGACGGCTCTTAGAGATAGTGAGGGCCATGATTGTTTCAAATACAGCACGCGCCTGTAGCTGGTAACAATTTATGCAGGTTTTCCAATATTATTGTGAACAGGACATTTCAGTGGGATGCTTGGTCCTCAGGTGCGGAGCACACTGTGCTGAGACTGAACCCATCATGTAGGGCGTGTGTGTGTGTGTGTGTGTGTGTGTGTGTGTGTGTGTGTGTGTGTGTGGTGGGGGGTGTCCACAGGCATGTCCATTCCACACTGTAAAGATGCGCACGTATTTGAGTCTTCTCTGTAAGCCTTTAACAGACAGAAACAATCAACTTAATTATAGCATCAGTCTAAGACTGTGGACCAGCACAGTGAGTGTGGAGAGACAGCGCACAGTTGCAGAGCATCGTCTCCACTCCCAGGTTTAAAAACTTCCATATGTGGAATACATACAAAGAAGCTGATAGAAAATTACTTCATATATTTCATAGAAAGATACCAACCTATAGGATGGCATGCTTACAATACTGTTCTCAGTGTGAGTTATGGCCCTGATAACATTGAACATTAAAATTAGGATGTTAACAGTATCGTCATAAAGTGTTGTGCCCATTAGTTTGGATTAGAAAGGTGAATTCAACTTTTGAGAAGTGCCATTGGATTCAGATTAATGAGTCCATTGATAAAGTCAGAAAAGGTTCCTGTAACAGATAGGAAAGGAACGGGAATCATGCTGAAAGTCAGCCGTGCGTGTACTCTGAATATCTCCGTAGTTCTTAGTGTCTGGGGCAAAGGTCAGTACGAGAAGCTTCAAAACAAAGGACTGTATTTTCCCTCCTGGTTTAAATTTGTCTTAGATAACCTGTGAGTACTTTAAATGCCTGTTTTCTCATTCATATAGACACACCTAGCAGACACTGTTATGTTAAGAAACATAAACTAAAAACACAATGTACAATTTTAATACAGAGTGAACATTTTAGCTTTTGATGAATAGGTAAATTTTAGCATGACAAGCTTCATGCATCACATCTAGTTAGTTTCAGGTTCTCACAAGGGGGCACTGTACACATCCAGTGGGGTAAGTCAGTGTCTGTCAGCGTGTGTCCAAGTCTCTGCACTGACTCTGTCACCCAGACACACTAGCCAGGCTCTCTGAGCTTTGGCAAAGCTGGGGCCTCACTCCTCATGCAAGCTTGATACAGACATAAGCATAGCACCTAGCTGGTTGTGGCAGTCCACAAAGTGATGAGTTATAACGCCAATATAGGGAGAATGGGGAAGGGGAATTGTTTTTTTAACTTCCAGATAGATAGGTCTCTCAGCAGACTGCTATTCCATCACGTAATGCAGAATCATTGATCTGGATAGAATATGACATGAATGATTGCTTAGGAGATACTGTAAAAATTCTATTATATTCAAGTATTTGATGTATTGAAAATAAACAGAAATTGTAATCATGAATTAAGCATCAAAAAAATATGACTCATGAGAAGGCACTAGTTGCTAGTTTTGAGGGATGTGTTTTTTGATAGTATATTGTATTACACATGAGAGGCAGAAAAAATTAAGCAAATAATTTTGGACTTGCTTCACCTAGACTGTGAAGTTGACTTAGCCACCAGGAGAAACCAGTTGCCTGTACATAGGGCCTGTGGTAGTGGATCTATCTAGAATCTGCAAGATGGTCAGTTGCTTTGGACCAGTCAGCTTCCTTAACGCAGCTAGACCTTTTTGCTGTAAATTGCTAGAGATGGCATGACCCCAGTAGGCAGCCAGCAAGAAAGTTGTTGAATAATTTGTAATAAGTCACAGAATCAGTTCATACATCTTTATTATGCTAGCCTTAAATTGTGGGATGTCTTTACTTCTTTTTTTTTTTTTTTTTTAGCTCAGAGTACCCAGTGTTAATTTAAACTGACACCTATGCATGGAAATGTTTTAAATTGTGTTGATAATGTAAGGGAAGGAGCATCTATCCTGGTAGGTGACCAGCCCACTCTGCACACCTTGCCACAGGATCCTCACTGAAGCAGCACACTCTCACACTTTTGCTGACTGCCCTTGTGCAACAAGAGCACATGATTTCCATGTTCTAGATCACCTTTACCTCCTGTCACCTCTTATCTTTAGCTTAGTCATAAAGGCAGAGAGACTATGTATCAGGAGCATGCATCACATGCTCCCAGTTACCAGTCAGTGTGTGTACATGCACTCACGCACTGGCACACACACACACACACACACACACCTATTCCTTTCCTTGAAATCTCTGGCACATGTTGTAACTCAGATGCACTTCTGAGGGCTTGCATTATTGCTAAAGAATACAGATCCAGTTCCATGTGTTAATTTGGTTTGTCTAAAGCATAGGGGCATAGCAGAAATGTAACTTAGTTAATAAAAGGTACCCTCATTGTATGCAGGTACACACACACACACACACACACACACATAAAAATTATGTGCATTTTGAAATGGTTCCATAATGCTGATCAGCATGTAGCTGGATGGGTCCTGCTAGCTTACATTATCCAAAACATAGATAATATTTTTTAAAAGACTTACAAATGTCTCTCTGAACATGGCAAGCTGAGGTGACTAAAGAGGACAGCGAGGAAATCACCGTGGCCTGGGAACTGGCTCCTCACTTCTTGTCTACTGGCTAAGAGTTTGGTAAGCCTGAGTGTGAGCCTCTGTCAAGTTGTTGCAGATATTCTTTCCAGTAGGCAGAGTCCACACCATGCTCTTAACCCTTCCCACCACAGTGGCTGTCTCTAACTACACCTCCCAATACTTCCCATAGGGCCTGGATTCCTTCTGAAAACATTCAAGATATCACAGTCAATGTTCATCGACTGCATGTGAAGCGCAGTATGGGCTGGAAAAAAGCCTGTGATGAGTTGGAACTGCACCAGCGGTTCCTCCGTGAAGGCCGGTTCTGGAAGTCTAAGAATGAGGACCGAGGTGAGGAAGAGGCAGAATCCAGTATCTCCTCCACCAGTAATGAACAGGTGAGTGATGTCTCGGTAAGAAGGTCCTGCTGATTCTGATTTTTCAATGCAGAAACCTCTGTGTACACTCGTCACTGTCATAAACAGGTTTTGACATCTTCTTTCCCTTTCTGTAAACATCTGTAAAGTGCTCTGCCCAAGTAAGCAAACCAGTGCAAAGATGTGAGTGGGTAGAAGCGCCTTGGAGCCTGACCCAGCCGGTGGGAGGAGTGTAAGTGTGCTGCTTGGCTCTGCAGCTCCACTGGCCCTTTGATCACCAACCCACAGCGATAACGAAGCACGTGGCTGCTTCGTGGATGGAAGGACTCCCTTCTCTGCTGCGGGTCCCTACAAGTACTTTCAGCACAGAGGTATTTCCTAGTGTGCCGAATAATAAGATGTTACTTTTATAATGCCCACAGCTGAAGGTCACTCAAGAACCAAGAGCAAAGAAAGGACGACGTAATCAGAGTGTGGAGCCCAAAAAGGAAGTAAGTTGCCCACCTCACAGTGTCCAGGTGGCAGTGGAAAGAGGAAAGAGTCTCACAGTTCGGTCAAGACAGTCAAGTAATGTCCGTCAAGTTAAAGCCCAGTCTCCCGACTCCTGTCGTTGTGGACTGCTGCTCGACCAGCACACGAGTGCACAGTCTCCTCCGTCCCCAGTAAGCAGCCGTGGAGCAGAGTCCGGGGAGCAAGCAGGGTGCTGCTGCGGTTCCTGAGAACCCGGTGGTTTTCATGGTGGTGTGTGAAACAGAGCAGTTATCTGATGAGCCTGTCATGCCAGCTTTGAAAACAAGGAGACCACGGTCAAGCTTCCTTTTTTGTGTGAACTGAGCATGTTTTAAAATTGTAGATCTGGCTACATGCCAGACACATTCCATAAGGTGTGGTTTATGATTCTAGGAAATCTGTTGATAGTTGATAATGATTTTATATTTTATAAATCAAAAACTTTATTTTAAAAGTATATAGTGAAATCATAAATGAAATTTTTGTTTAGACTTTTCTTAAGCTATTAATGGTTTAACTTTTCATTTACTGGTTGTGTTTGGGGAGGATTTATTTGTGACAAAGTATAACAAGATACCAGCATTACTTGCTTGTTAATAGCCATTTGTGTGTGTGTGTGTGTGTGTGTGTGTGTGTGTGTGTGTGAGAGAGAGAGAGAGAGAGAGAGAGAGAGAGAGAGAGAGAGAGAGAGAGAGAACATGCGAGCTTGAATGTGCACATACACTGAATTTTTCTCTTAACAGAGCTGTGTGAGTTACATTGCCCTGTTTTGCTTCTAAACACTATAGGAACCAGAGCCAGAAACAGAAGCAGTAAGTTCCAGCCAGGAAATCCCCACAATGCCTCAGCCAATTGAGAAGGTGTCGGTGTCAACCCAGACCAAGAAGTTAAGTGCCTCCTCCCCAAGAATGTTGCATCGAAGCACCCAGACGACTAGTGATGGCGTCTGTCAGAGCATGTGCCACGACAAGTACACCAAAATCTTTAATGACTTTAAAGACAGGATGAAGTCGGACCACAAGCGTGAAACAGAAAGAGTGGTCCGCGAGGCGCTGGAAAAGGTGGGGCTGTGCATTGCTGGGGGGCGGGGGAGAGTGGACAGCCTCTCGCAGGAGCGGCTGAGCCAATATTCCGTACACTGTTGTAGTTAGTAACGCCTTCTCGCTAGCACCTTTTGGGCGTACTGAAGTAGTGGGAACAGAGCCTAACCTCAGCAGGAAGGCTTCATTTACCTGTGTGTCCTGTCTGTTACTGTCTTCACTTCAGCTGCGCTCTGAAATGGAAGAAGAAAAGAGACAAGCTGTAAATAAAGCTGTAGCCAACGTGCAGGGTGAGATGGACAGAAAGTGTAAGCAGGTGAAGGAAAAGTGTAAGGAAGAATTTGTAGAGGAGATCAAGAAGCTAGCGACACAACACAAGCAGCTCATCTCTCAGACCAAGAAGAAGCAGTGGGTGAGTAGACGCTGTCCCCACTGCTCCTGGGAATGTGATCTGCTGTGCTGAGGTCAGCTCAGAAAAAGAGGTGCAGTGCACACAGAGGGACCCCTGCAAGAGTAGCTAGAACCCCTCCTGGGCAGAGTGCGCAGACACTGTGGTTGTCTGGTCTCAGCTTCAATCTGGAGATGTCTAATGGTAGTCAAGCTGAAAAGCTGCACATGTGTCCCAGCAAGCGACGTCCCTGTCCTAGACATTTCCTGTTACAGTAGCCTTCAGAAATTGCTTCCTTTTGCTTAGAGTAAGAGCATGTCATTGCTCGGTAAGTGCCCTTCCCTCCACCTGCCTGCAAGTGACACTGAGTCCTGGTCCTAAGCCGTTCCTCCTTTTGGGACTCCTGCACAGAGCCCCATAGCCCTGAGGGAACTACCTGGTGGGAACAAGTCTCCTTATGCTCCTTACTTGGTTTCAATTTAAATAATATTCTAAATAGCATTTCATGATAGTTCTTCCTTTTACCCAGCTTCTATTATGAAGATTCTGTATATATATGTAAAGTTTTCATGAAGTCTGTGGTAAGAAAGAATTGTTATAAAGATTTAGCAGAAATGACAAGGGCATCTTGGCACATACACAGAAGTCTGTATGGACAGCTTGGTGGGAAGAACTGCTGGCTAGGGAGACAGGGCTAGACAGGGGCTAAGGTGTGCTCCAGCAAGCTCCAGAAGGCCCAGACACCACATTGGTAATTCTGTCTTACATAAGACGCTAGATTTATTGAAGACATGACTCTCTTCACCTTCCCAGCAGCAATATGGTAGAAGTTGCCATTGTTGACGTAGCAAAATCACCAAACTCAAAATACTAATTTCAACAGAAAATAAAACAAATATGCAACCAAAAAGAAAACTGGAAGGTTGAATTTTGAATTTTTACCAACCCGAGTGGTCTGGGTCCTCACCGTGTCTGTCAGCCAGGTGCAGAGTACAACTCTATATAGTCTTGTGGGTTATAAGCTCAGTCTGGTCTCTCCTGCTCATCCTCTTTGCAGGCATCTACAGCAGTGCAGCTGCTAGCTCACCAGCCCTACTTAAAACTCAAGCATGGGGTTGGGGATTTAGCTCAGTGGTAGAGCGCTTAAGGCCCTGGGTTCGGTCCTCAGCTCTGGGGGAAAAAAAAAGACAAAATAACAAAAACTCAAGCATGAACTTCCCCTCATTTCTTCTCCCATGTCTAAAGGTCTAGCCTCAACACTAGGCACTTTTTGACCCAGCTGGCCATTGTGAGAACTTCTAGTGTCAAGAGTGACTTCTCCCTGAAAAGGCCAAGCTAGGACTTCCTTCATAGATATGCAGTGGAGGGATTGATCGTGGGAGAACAGAACTACAAATGCCTGTCCTTAGGGAGTCAGGGCAGCCTGAGTCAGGAGGAGTTGATGCTGGAGCTGGTGGACATGAACAAGCCTATAGAGACACAGGGATGAAGTGTGGGGGAGATGCCTGAGCCCTCACCCTGGCTTCCTGTCCTTTCACATGTGATACTCGCAATGCACATGCATGTGCCTGTAGGCTAGCCTGAGCCAGAGAGAGCTTTGCAAGCGCAGCCTTAGAAACTTAGCGGGCCTGAGCCGTGGGCTCCTGGTCTCATGTGTGCCTCCCGCCCTGCAGTGCTACAACTGTGAGGAAGAGGCCATGTACCACTGCTGCTGGAACACGTCCTACTGCTCCATCAAGTGCCAGCAGGAGCACTGGCACGCCGAGCACAAGCGCACCTGCCGCCGGAAGAGATGAGCCCGCTCGCCGCCCTCACACGCAGCGGTTTTTCTTTCCAAGAAGCCAAAATTGTGTAGAATTTGCTTCCCATTTTGCACCAGCCTTTAAACACTTTTCGTGGTGAAATTTTGCACAGTAGTTTAAATCTTTTGTTAATGCTCCTCCGGCATTTTTCGGGGGCTGAAGTAACATCAATGGAGGGTATTACTCTAAATAAATTCTAATTGAAGATTTGTTGCATTTTCAGCAAATTTTAAAGCATTTTTAGGTTTTACAGAGATTTTAACCTTTAAACAACAGATCTTAAAACAACAGCAACAACAACAACAGGTGAATACGAGTGAGTCTAACAAAGACGGAACAGAGCTGAATGTAAGAGCGGCAGACGCTTCAGAAGAAAACAGACTACCTGGCCGTGACCTGGCCGTGACCTTGCTGAGCTGGTTTTGTGTAGCTTGCTCACTGTTCACAGGCCTCGCCTGTGGCTGTGCTGGCGGCATGTGATTGAATATAGGGAACAGGGTTGACACAGCAGGGCTAGCCCTGCATATTTTTTCTTAAATATTTCCCAATTGTGTTTTCATTATTTCTTTTCAATATATAACTTTTATAACAAATTATTAGCTTTGATCTTGTAGTTTAAAATTGCAGGGAAACTGGGGTAATCTTTTACTGAGCTGGATCTTAGAGAAAAATGAATATTTAAATTTTAAAGTTTGCACATTTCATCTTTGTCCTGACATGAGTGCTTGTAACAAAATCAGCAGCAAAAACAAAAATCAAAAGCCAAAAACTACCTGTACTCAGAACGTGGAATACAGCTGAGACATGGAGTCTCTTCACTGAGCGCCCCCTCCCCAGGGCCACCCTAACCTTACTCCCTGTGTCTCCTCGAGTAGAAGTTACTGCTCAGAGAGAGAAAGCACTTAGGTCTCACAGAAGCCGTTGTGTGTAGGGAAGGGTCATTGCTACTAACGAACTCCGTCGCTGTACACAGTGAATAATGCATGTTCCTTTTCTTGTATTAAAGATGCCGTGATTTGTACAAAGTCTGTATTTTGCGGGATGTCTGGTTAAGAAGCATTACCAGTAGGAATGGATCGATAGTTGAATAACATTTTTATATATACATAGATATATAAAAGACAACCAGGAAAATTAAATTTCTTTAAAACAATTGGTTCCCACCCCCACTCCAAGACCGATCATAGACCAAACCAAATTCCCACTTTATCCTTTAGTTATTTTTTGAGGTTAGAGAAATAATTTGTAAATATTTATTTAGACCTTTGATATTTATTAAAGGAATTACTCACAACAGAAGTGAAAGAGTCGGGAGAAAAGCCTTTTAAAAAAGTTTTCTCCGGTCCATCAGGGTCACTCTAAAGTGAAAGCTAAGGAGTCTTCTGTGAAACCTCTCCATCAGGCCTGCTGCTGGTGCAGATGGTGGTAACACAAGTTAATTGACAAACTACTGCCAATCGGAGCACACGCTTTGTCTAGAAAACCACCAGGAGCCATCCATCACCTCCTCCAGGCTCTGCAGTAACCGCAGTAGCCGGCGCCAGCGCTCCCTCCTCGCTGCTGCTGCCGCAGAACCATCCTCGATGCGCCGCCGCCGCTGCCCTAACCAAGGACACGGACAGTCTTTGTTTTCAGGTTTTCAAACTTCGATCCACCCTGTGAAAGCAAGTTATTGTGGGAATATTTTTGGTGTAAAATCATTCCAGAGTATGTACTATTTACCTGATAGCTGCATGAAAGTGAGGTTCCTGTTACTTTGGCTTCTTGTCTCTGTCGACACGGCTGCACATTTCCAAGTTACTACAGTGTGAAAACTGTGTGTTTTAAAAAAACAAAAAACAAAAAACAAAAAAAAAAAAACAAAATTAAAAAAAGATTGTGGCCTGGTTTTGTAAAAGTTTTAGGTAAAATTACAATTGATTGTTTTAGGAATCATTAAAATTTTCTGCAATCATAAAGCTATATCAAGGTGTTGAGTTAAGCCACTCTGCACATTGTAAGTACCCATCGTGGCTGTCCAGTTCTATGATGCATTCTGGCATTTTGTAAGCTGCTCTGACTAGCAATATATAGATTTCATTTACTGTGTTAACATTGGTTAATAAATGTATTTAAAAAAAAAAACAACAATTCTTGTTAATAATGTGCTTTAGTCCAGTGTCATGTACCAGACATAAGACCTGAAGGTCGTTCAAAAGCGGTGGGTTGGTTGTGGGGACTGTTAAACCAGTGTGGGGAGCTGGAGAGATGGCTCAGTAGTTAAGAGCACTAGCTGCTCTTACAGAGGACCCGAGTTTGATTCCCACATGGCAGTTCACAGCCTCTGTAACTCCTGTTCTAGGGACAAAATGCTCTCTCGGACCTCTGTGGGCACCAGGCAACAAATGGTGCACATATTATGAAGGTAACACATTCATACACATAAATTTAAAAAAAAAAACATGTTCTGTTCAATTCTTCACCTCAACATTTACCTTGGATTACGAGGGTCATTTCTCAGAAAGGAAAGGATGAGATCATGTGCTCATATCTGCTCTTGACTGGAGTGCTGAGCAGGCAGGGCAATCCTGTTCTCACTTGGGATGACAGGTGGGTACGATTTTACTAGTCTGCAGCTTTCACACCAATGTTAACCTGTCTGCATGTAGTTTTTTGTGTGGTTTTATCATTGGCATCCTGTAGTAGTACCATAGTTGGGATGAGATGGTTTAGCTTTGAACTTACTGTACGATTCTGAAGCTTCCAACAGTCCTCACAGAATATTCAATCCACTTCATTTTTGTCTTTGTCTCTGTCTCTAAACAAGAAGCTTACCTGTTTTTTTTTTTGTTTTTTTTTTTTAAACCCTCAAACTTTGGACACCTAATTCTAGACCTCAAGCATAAGAGTTGTGCTCAGAAAGGTTTTCAACTAAGAAATACTTAACAGGTATGAGCCCGTGACAGTACAGAGTAAGTGACAGTCTCACTGCGACCGCCCAGGCCAGAGTAGAGTCGGTGATGATCTCACTGCCTTGGTGTGTGCCAGGAGACAGGAAAGCAGTTTGCACCTTCCCCCAGGATACTGCATAGAAAGAGCTGTATTCTAACACATTACAAGGAAGCTTTTCAGTTAGTCTAGCAACTCTAGCCTCGGTCTGGCCACACAAGACCAGGAAAGTATAGACAGATCAATTCAAAGTGATCTCCTAATATACCTAGATATGCTTAACTGGTGAGTCACAGAGCTAGGTGTCAAGCTTAGGTTGGTTTGATTGCAAAGTCCATTTTTTTAGCCCATCTGCTGTGCCAGACTTGATAGAAAAACTTAATGACCATCCGACATTGTGAGTGTCAGCAAGTTCAACATCCCCTGAGTCGTACTTGTCATCTCCCCCCCCCCCCCCCCCCCCCCCCCCCCCCCGCTGGCATCTCCACTCCACCCACACATTGCTCTCTCAGTCCAGGGCAGCCATACGCTCACTGCCTGAGAGGGACAGCAAACAGCTGTACCTGTGTCTTCATCTGTAGTCTTCAGTTTAGAGGTGCACAAACCTGAGGTCAGGAGTGTTATGGAGTGGCGGCGCTCAAGGCCTTGGTGGGTTTGAGCTGCGGAGACAGGCCACGCGGGCAGGGCCAAGGGGGAACTGTGGAAAGTTATTCACACCACGCAGGTATAGCATCCATGTGGAAAGGTTTATTGGGGGGAAGGTAGAAGGAAAGGGAGGGAGGGAGGAGGACGAGGGAGAGAGTGGAGGTGCACATCATGTGGGAATAGAGAAAAAGAGGGGAGAGGGGAGTTTCTCTTAAAGATGGTATCAGGATGCTGGGTGGGTCCTAACAAGGAGGTCTGGGATTCATGCACTTCGAGGTCCTACTTAAGCACAGGCATCATTGACAAGTTCCCAACTCTGAGGACCACAGCTTTATTGCCAGGAAAATAAAAGTGATGGGTCCATATACCCGTGTTTAAGACAAACTGCATGAAATTCTATAGATGCCTCATGTCCAGAATTATCTTGACCTTCAGGTTAAGAATTCTTGACCCGGGGCTGGAGAGATGGCTCAGAGGTTAAGAGCACTGACTGCTCTTCCAGAGGTCCTGAGTTCAATTCCCAGCAACCACATGGTGGCTCACAACCATCTATAATGAGATCTGGCACCCTCTTCTGTATACATAATAAATAAATAAATTTAAAAAAAAAAAAAAAAAAAAGAATTCTTGACCCAAGCCAGGCGGTGGTGGCGCACGCCTTTAATCCCAGCACTCAGGAGGCAGAGCCAGGCGGATCTCTGTGAGTTCGAGGCCAGCCTGGGCTACCAAGTGAGTTCCAGGAGAGGCGCAAAGCTACACAGAGAAACCCTGTCTCGAAAAACCAAAAAAAAAAAAAAAAAAAAAAAAAATTCTTGACCCAATCGAGTTAATGAAACATCAATATGTAGAGAGACAAATAGAGTTACTGTTCTGTAGCATGACTCTTAAAGGGTCTTACTAACAAAACAAACCCAAAGCCAGGTATTGGGGTGAATGCTGAAAGATCAGAGAGACAGACCAGGCTACAGCTACCTCACCTTGCCAACTTCTCAGTCGATCGATCCTGTTTCCTCAGACTGGAAGCCTCTGAGTCCTCATCCAAATGGATCTCAGCTGAACTGTTGCTAAAAGCCTAAAAGCTTAACGCGACTCTAGTTCTTGATATTCACGCCTTATATTACCTTTCTGCTTCCTGCCATCACTTTCTGGGATTAAAGGTGTGTGTCACCATACCTGGCTGTTTCCAGTGTGGCTTTGAACTCACAGAGATCCAGATGGATCTCTGCCTTTGGAATGCTAGGATTAAAGGTTTGTGTGCCACCATTTTCTGGCCTCTATGTCTATCTAGTGGCTCTTCTGTTCTCTGACCCCAGATAAGTTTATTAGGGTGCACAATGTATTGGGGAACACAGTATCACCACACTGTTATAGTTCAAACTGCTCAAAGCCACATAGATAGCTCACCAGGGAAGTGCACATGTCAGGATCCATGAGTGGGTCTGCAGCATGAAAGGCTAGAGCTTGTCTGCTACTTGTGAACTTCCAGGCAGTATGGAGTCTGCTGACCAGGTGTGAGAATTCACAGAAGGTGAGTGTTACTGCATTAAACCACAAACTCCATAAAGCAAAATGCTGAGAGGGAAATACAGAACTATACCAGAACTATACATGTTATACAGTAGCCATGTTGTAAAAAATCACAACCAGGTAAATTTAATGTATCTCATCAAACACTGTTTAATTTGCAAGTAATATAAAATTACTTACAGTTATTACTTTTGATACAGGGTCTAACATTTTCCTTCCTGGCCACAAACTATGTAGCCAAGGATGACCTTGAACTTCTGATCTTTTCAAGCTGTCCCACCAGAGTGCTGAAATCATAGGCATGTGCCACCACATCTGCCTCATGTGGTTCTGAGGATGGAACCCAGGGCTTTGTGCATGCTAGGCAAGCTTTCTACCACAGAGCTACACCTCAGTTCTAATATAAAAATTATGACTGATGGCGTTTGCATTCTTAGTTTGTATCAAGCTTTCAAAATCTAGTATTTAATTACTTTCTCCCTGTCTCCATTGAGACTAGCCACACTGTCCCATGTGACCAGTGGCTTCCTTTGTCATGGACAAGTACCTGTCCTGTCAGTGACTCACTGTGTCATTCACCAGCATACATGTGTTAGAGTTCCTAGGAGCTGCAGAAAAAAGAAAAATTAATTCTTGCCAGAATTAGAGCCTCCTTGAGGCTCTGTTGCAGTCTCAAATTTGAGAGCTTAGAAATTGTCTGGTCACCATATTCTAAAGAAAAGTGAGGACCCTCACCCCATCAGATATCCTGTAATGTGATAAGGATTGACCTTGAGGAGGTAGTAGGCAAGACAAAATACCTACATCCTCCAGCTAGGAAAAAGCCTGACCTGGCAATGGGGTACATGCATTTCACATGGGACCCCACAGAAGTCCCGATACTC